TTGGCTTGCGAGTGTGTGCCCGATAGTGTTAGTTGACTTACTGATTCGGGAGTATAGTTATGAGGTCTTCGTGTTTCTTGCATCATTGTCAGCATTATGGAGGTTTGAAACGGGTTGCTAATGGATATGGGTCTAATTGCCGGTGCTGGTTTTGATTTTGGGCAGCTATTGTGATAAGAAATGTTATTATGGGCCTATATGTGGTGTGTCTTGTTATGTGGTCGTACCTTATGGGTGTAGGCATGAGTTGTTACCACTGGTTGAGACTGATATCTGTTATGGATTTAGAATCGGATCTTTTGAAGATAAATGGAAGGTGAGAATTTTTTACTCTAAAGCTTATCGGTGTTGGCAGAAAGGATAAATTACAGTTGAGATGGAGTCGTCAGGCTTATGCGGATTTGGGGTGACGTGGGGTCACCCACGGGTGTGTGTTGGGTATGTACTTTAAGTGATTTCAAGACTTCGAGGCGATGCTTAGCACGTTCGAGGACGGACATTTGTTTAAGAGAGGAAGGATGTAACGACCCGGCCAGTCATTTTGAGAATTTAACTCTCGTTCGGTGGCATAAGGCCCTGAGCAGCTTCATATTATGTGTATTGACTTGCGTGCATGGTTGAACTCGGTTATCGGTTGTTTCGGAGTGATTTGGGATACTTAGTCCCTAAAACAGAAGCTTAAGTCTTAGAATTTTGACCGTAGTCGGAACTATGTGAAGACGACTCCGGAATAGAGTTCCGTCGGTTCCATTAGCTCCGTTGGGTAATTTTGGACTTAGGAGCGTGTCCGGATTGTGAATCCGGGGTCTGTAGCTGATTTAGGCTTGAAATGGCGAAAGTCAAATTTTTGGAGATTTGGACCGGAAGTGGACTTTTTGATATCGGGGTCGGAATGCGATTCCGAGAGTTGGAAAAACTCCATTATGTTATTTGGGACTTGCCTGCAAAATTTGACGTCATTCCGGGTTGATTTGATAGGTTTCGGCACGGGTTTTAGAAGTTGAAAGATTTGAAATTTATAAGTTCGATTCATGGTGCGATTCGTAGTTTCAACGTTGTTTGATGTGATTTGAGACCTCGAGGGGGTCCGTGTTAGGGTATAGAACTTGTTGGTACGTTTGGACGGGGTCCCGAGGGCCCCGGGTGTTTTTCGGACGAGTTGCAGATGATTTCCATAGTTTTGGGGAGGTCTGAGTTCTGATGTAATCACACATGCGGACCTTGGGCGCAGGTGCGAAGAACGAGGCGCAGGTGCGGGAAGAGCTGGACTTGGCAGTCTCCGCAGGTGCGGAGAATTTGTGCGCATCAGCGGACTCACACGTGAGGAGATGGAAGCGCAGATGTGAGAACTTGAGAGTTGGCCCGGGGTCGCAGGTGCGAGGAAGTTCCGCATCTGCGATGCCCGCATATGCGTAGAAGACTCGTAGCTGCGGAGGCTGTGGGAGTTAATGACTTCCACAGGTGCGACTGGTTAGACTGCAGGTGCGGTAGGCGCAGGTGCGAGAAATGATCGCAGGTGTGAGGATCGCTGGGCAGAAAGGGGTTGGAATCGAGTGTTATTTCATTTTTCACTCCATTTTTGATTTTGAGCTCGGGAGAAGGCGATTCTTTGAGGGATTTTCAGAGGAATCTTGTGGGTAACGATTTCTTACTCAAATTTGGTTTTATTGCATTAATCTATAGTTGTTTTATCCATTTAGTTTCGGATTTTTGGGGTTGAAATTGGAAAATAATTGGAAGAACTTCTTCAATAAAGATTTCAAGTTTTGAAAGGGGATTTGTGGTCGGATTTGAGTAATTCTTAAATGGTTGGACTCGTGAGTGAATGAGTGTTCATATTTTGTGATTTTTACCCGATTCCGAGACGTGGGCCCGGGTGGACTTTTTAGGGCAAATTTCGGAATTGTTTTTTAAAATATTGACTTCATTAATTAGATGAGTCTATTATCGTTGTATTCATTATATGCAATTGTGTTTGGTTAGATTTGGACCATTCAGAGTTGGATAATTGAGAAAAGGGCATTCTTACGGACTGTTTGAGCTTGGTTCGAGGTAAGTATCTTGCCTAACCTTGTGTGGGTGACTTCCCCTTAGGATTTGAGTGTTCTATGTTGATTGTAGTCTGTGTACACGAGGTGACGAGTGCGTGCACAGACTTATTTGTGAAAAATTGGCCTTTTAGGGTTCTTAGGTCCTTGTATTCATTGAATATGCAGTTGTTCTTGTTATGATTATATATCTTAATTACTAGATTCACATATACCTGCTTAATTAGAATCAATTGCTTCATGATCCACTATTATTGTTACTTGATTCATATGTGCCTTAACTGAAACTGTTATCTCTTTTATAGCCATGCTATCTTTTCATAACT